ATTATTCCATGAGGTTCACACTCAACATCCTGAGAAATGGAACACGTGAGTTGGAATTTATGGCAATTGTTTAATTTGTTCTTTCTTTCTCCCCGGAAATCTGAACGGAGAGATATATCTGCAATTATTAGAAGACGCTATCGATCCTGCATTGACAGAAACGCTCGAAAAGTTGACATTTCAACAAGATGGTGCACCTCCTCATTATACCCTTGCTGCTCGGGAATATTTAAATCGGACGTATCCCGATAGATGGATCGGCCGAAGAGGACCAATAGAGTGGTCTGCAAGATCACCTGACAACCCCCATAGATTTTTTTCTTTGGGGTCACTTAAAATGTAAGATTCACAAAACTCAGCCACAGTCAATAAATTATTTACATCATCGGATAATTGATGAATGTCGAACCATAACACCAGAAATGCTTCATAATGTCTGGGAGTGTTTTGAACAAAATCTGCACTTTTGTATCGATGCAGAAGGCCAGCACTTATTACAATGAAAAATAAATAAATACAATTTCCATTTTGTGTCTTTGTTTGTAAACCTAAACAAACCATAATTACCGTAAAGCTAAGAATTATTTCTTCCAGAAAAACAACGTCATCTGAGATTTTGGTGACCTTTGAATGGGCTCTTTCACTAATTTTTGAAATTGGCATATTTGGATAAAGCAAGTAAAAACAGAATTTTCTGTATTTTTACTTTTGAAAAATTCAAAGTCCTTCTTGAGAAAACAGAGAAAAAAGAAATACCTCCAAATAAAAACCCAGAATTTATTTCTATGACGTCGCAGCTCGCAATTTGACCGTGTTGCCACTAATTGTCTACATTGAAAATTTGTAATAGATTTAATTCTGAAATGTTCGCAAAATATCATGAAAAGTAGTTAAATTAATTAGTTATGGATTCAAGATTTTATAACATTTTTATTGAAATTATGCTTAAACACAATTTAATATAATTTTTTATGTTTAGTTCTATTTATTTATTTTACGTTGCACTACATTTAGTCACCACCGACAACAGCGCATTCGAACCTTTACCTGCATTTACTACAGGATAAATACAGCCGAGGCGATCAGCTCTTTGCAACAACAAGCGAAATGAAGAATATTTATGCGACGTCAGCAAATCGGCGCGTTTTTGATTAATTTGAATATTGGTAGTTTAAAATGCCTGTAAAAAACTTATTTAACCTTGTAGAACATTTTTTTTTGGTATATATGCCTAAAATAGCCCCTCCTTTGGGATTTTATACTTAAATTACGTATTTAAATTTTAGTGAAAGAGCCCATTGTGGTATCATTCGACCTCCAATCCCATTTAATTAATTTAAGCGTTGCAGCTTAACCCTGCAGGAGGTTGAGATGGCAGATGGCAGAGTTGAAAATAGGTAAAAAAATATTTTTTCTCCAAACGTCAAAAAAACGTCACTTTGTCAGCATCTGTCAAGATGTTAGAAATTTAATTTCGATGCTGGTAGGCAAATCCAGCGGGTTAACACCTGTTGAGGTGGTAGAAATTTAATTTCTATGCTGCTAGGCAACCGCAGCGGCAGTAGAAGTACTTTTAGTGCCGCTGGAGCGGCAGCAAAAGTACTTTTAGTGCCGCTCGTACTTTTACTGCCGCTTAACCATACAGTTACCCACGCGAGCTTACTCCATTCGTTTGGAGAAAAAATAGCGTATTGCATACGGAGTAGAAGCACTTTTTTGTGCTCCAGCAGTATTGCAAGCCTCACTACGTTCGGCTCACAAACCTACTGCTTCAGCACAAAAAAGTAAAGCTTCTACTCCTAATACAACAATATACTATTTTCTCGATATGAAAATGAACGGATCTCAACATTTTTTTCATTTTATTATTCTAGCCTTATTTTTTCAAAAACGGCTGCATCAAATTTGCAAAACTGAAGTGCGCTGGAAACTGAATTTGATTGCCTTTAAAATAAGGTATCACTCGACCCCTATTCCTATTTAAGATTTTAGGGTTGGAGCTCTCCCCCGCGAAGGGGTGAAAGTGACAAGGTTGAGGATATGGGCAAAATCTTTCCCCCAGGAATAAAAATTGACGGGTCCGAGAGATTTTTTTTTTTTAACGAATGGTATATGAAATATCGGCCTTGTTTCGTTTTGATTGGCCCACCCTGTATTTACCTACTTGATGCTGCAGGTAAGAGATGAATAATTTTAGAAGAATGATAGATAAAAAAATTGATCTCTAGTCTGCGTACTTTTGCAAGACAGTATGCCGTTATAAAGTGTTTTCAGTTCAGAGTCTACTGCGTTTACAAAAGTACTTGTAAACGATATTGTGTTTATCCCCGGGGCTATTGTAGACATTTTCCTAACTATCATTCACAAAAGCCGAGTATAAATGAAAAATTGATCTATCTGTATTTCGATTCTCTAAGATGACAAACGCAAGGCAATACCAACAAGCAAACGCGAGCATTAAAGAACCAATTGTGAATAACAAAAACAAACGAAATGCAATAACTAGCTGAATCTTATAACACCAGGGCCTTCTTTCAGGTTACTTACTAGAATGGCATACGGACCAACCACTCAAGGACTCAATTCCTTACGCTCCAAAGATGGCACAAAACTGCTTAAAGACAGTTCTTCCATTAATTCTTGTTGGAAGGAACACTTTCAGGAACTACTTAACAGAGAATCACAAATTAATAATGACAATGAAATTCTACAGAAACGTCTACAACAAGAACTGGGCAAGGTTTCCAAATAAGAGGAGGTTGAAATCAGACAACTAAAGAGTCAGCTAGGTACGGAGGGCATTTTTTAAACAAGGAGCCCAAAACCACATTCTAATAAGAAAAATATCAATTATGGATGACTGAGACCATAGAGATACCTTCATTGTTTCAAAATGGGAGACAAGGCAGGAAGGAGCAAGTAAACAGAGGAAGAGGCATAACTGCCAGAGACTGGGTGTGTCAAAACTGTGGAAAAATGTGCTGCTCTAGAATTGGGTTACATAGCTATCAGAAAACGCAATATCGACGACACAGAACATAATAGGAGATAATCATACTCGGTATCAAGTAATCGCCTATGATTACGATGATGATGATGATGAGTCGAATTGTTATCTTTTGGCCATTTTTTTTCTTAATTTTCCGAAAATTCTTCTACGACAATATCAGATGTTTAATAAAAAAAAACATACGCAATAATAAAAGAAAATTCAAATCATACTTCCGGAGGATCAATTATTTGCAAATCGTCCTTTGTACCAATAATTGATCATCAATATTTAACACATGTAACGTAACTACATTTTATATTTATGTATATTACCAATACTAATGCTCATTTGTATTAATGAACTACGTTTTGTATTTTTAATGTTCATGAAAATTGATCAAAGCGGAACAAAAAAAAAATTGAAAAACCTCAGAAAACTTAAAAGATATATTAAGTATATTATATTGATCCTGAGAACCATAGAACATAAACCTAGTTTGGTTTAGACAATATTCACCACCAATTCCTGACTCTTGAAAAATATCGCATACGAAATTTGATTCGAATTTGACTGACAGCAATGTAAATTAAATGGGAAGCGTTCGAAATCATATCAAATTTTGTAAGCGATATTTTTCAAGAATTTTTGAAGAATTGGGCCCCTGGTAGGGGTTTCTGGTATATTTTGAGAACCCTCAAAAAAAACATGACATCTCTAGTCCTTAGATATTTTCCATGAACAGAAACATAATTGAATACATCCAGCCTTTAGCTTTTCTGATGAAAAGCAAAGAAACGAAAAGTTCGTCAGATGCAGAACTTTTTCCAAGGAATACCTACATTTCGAAATTCAATAATTGAAGCTGTTGAATCAATGGAGGAAAGGTAAAGCATATTCATTAATATAAAATTTAAAAAAAAACACGACACAAAAATCAGAAAGGTGAGGGAGTTTTTTCAGAAGGAATGAGAACTTCTTTATCGTTCTTTATTGTCATCATCCAGAAGCATAAATTGTATTAAACCAATATAAAAAATGTACTAACCAACCATTGATATTCATGCAAGGTGAAATGTTTGCAATATTTTTAAATAAATTTGTTAACATTTATCATTGTTTTTGATTATAATACAAAACTTATTTATGTAGTGAGCGTCATTATTACACCACTAGCGGTGTAATCAACCTGATTATATAACTCAAATAGTGAGATAACAGAAATCGGATGGGCCAAAATCGAAAGATTTTAGGAAGGTAATTATATTAATAATTATTATTATGCCTCAGTAATTGGGTATTATCTATTTTATTTACACCATTGATTGAGCAATGTTGAATATTGCTACAAATCTTAAACAAAACATAATTATCTCAACACTTCTTATTTTGTTACTTGGTAACAACACTTTTATACAATCCGTACGTATTTGTTATGCCTGAATGCAAAGAAATAAAATATTTTAAATTGAAGTAACATCATTTTAATTTCATCATCACAATAATATTTGTTATGATTTAAAAGGAAGTAATCACGGAAATGATCCCTTAACCCAAACTTACATCAGAACATCACAAAGTGGACGGGTTTTCCAACTTGACAGCGACTATTTCATTTATTGGTTTTTCCCAATCTGATTTCATCAAATGGATTGTTTTTTCACTTTTACAGCGATACAACCTACTAGACTAGAAGTTTTTTCGGTAATTCATTGGTGTTATCATTGAAAAGTCTGTTTGGAGAACATATTGCAGAAAATGGAGTCAGTGTTTTCTATGATTTTGGAAATTCCTTTTAGAATTTTTGATGCTCAGATAAATATTCAAAAAGGATTTGTTGGGCGGTTTTCATTAAGAACGATAAACTAATAACCCAAAATAGTTTCTTGTGAGACTCTTATATCCGGATCGCCTATATTTTCCATTTTGTGATTATAATCATCGTTCTTTAACCTATACCTACCTATAGGTACCAAATCATAGTAATTAACTTCATACTATAAATACTTACATCAATTCCTATTAATGTAGGCCTCATATACAGACTACTTGTTGGGCTATGTGGTACCCATTCCTGGTCAACTTCTACCAGCCTTTTTATACATTTAATCAGCTCGTCTCCGTAAAAAGATGGTAAACCTGAGCTTATTGCAGACGCGTTCATCCTGGCCATGTTCAATTCTGGACGGAATATTCGAATTTTACCATCGACGCCTCGGTATACTTTCATGCCTTCGAAAAGCTACAAAGGAAATTGGATGGAGTTTAATCTGGTAACTTGTTACGAAATCTTGGGCTGTAACTTATTTATGGAAATTTCCAGGAAATATACTCATTATTGACGGTAGCTGTTTTAATTTATTTGGACTTTATATCAAGTGTCATTGCCAAGGACATTTCAAAACATATGCAATTTTTTTTTGCCACAAAAATTCATTTAACTTTTTAATTTTTTTTCTATTCAAACACAATACGTTGGAATCAATTTATTATAAATTCAGTTTACGTGTGCCTGTTTTACGTTTATTGTAATTTTTAACCCTTGTCGAATTGCAAATTTCGTGTAATTTTGTATTATTTGTTTCCAAAATATAAGATTCTGATGTAATCTAAAACGTATGTTTTAACATTAATAATAAATTATATCATTTGTTTCGCTATCAGTCTATTACGACAGTTGCAGTCTAATCTTTAAATTCTTACAGCAATATGTTTAGGCAATTCGTTGGTAAAGGTCATGAGAAAAAAAAAGCCAAATCAATGATCGATAGAGGTATTTGTTCCATAAATAATTAGTTGCAAATTTTTTCAGGGATATATTATTCTTACCTCTATGGCATAATGTAATACTTTCGAAGCAGGGTGCAGTGAAATATTTTCAAACGGTATTATTACGGGTTTTTGCCAGCCTCCTAATTTCCTGTGATAGAAAACTTTGAGCATATGATCGGTGAAAATGTGTCCAAACTTTAGGTCAGCTTCGTCAGGTTTGGCTCGGAGTTGGTCTGGATTGCACAGTTTTGTTGTGAGGTCCTTAAACTAACAAAAAAATACTCATTTGTACTAGGAATATAATGTGCATAGCCAGTGACTATTTTGTAAGGTTTTCGCCAATATTTTTCATTTATAATAGTTCATTTTTCATTCAAAAGTTAATATCTGATATTTCGTCTTGTTATTTTGAAAAGCACTATATCTGCCGAAATGTCGAAACACGAAGCCAAAATAAAATAGAATCACATTTTTAGTGAAATGAATGAGACGAAAAAATACTTATCGAGAGATACCATAATTATATTTGTTCATCCCAAGCCAAGTTATCATTTTTTTATTTAAAAAAAAACTAACATCTGCTCACTATTTCATTTTACTTGATAAGGTCAATAGTTTACTCAAACAAATTTTTGATATTGGTCATGTATTGAAATCCATATCTTTATCTAATTTTCACTGGTCAAAATAAAGAGCAAAGCCGAGTTTTTTACATTGAATCTCATCGAAAATTGTTAGAAATATGAAATATTTATTCGCATCCCTCTTAGATAATATACCTTATCTACTAACGTCAATTAAAAATTATCTTAAGAATGGCATAGGCCAAGATCGACTAAAATATTTTATCAATGATAGAGCTCAATGATCCCTTTGGCAAATTTCAAATGACCTAGGTCAGTAAGAGATATTAAAACTAATCAATTATATTTTACATGCGGTCTGGAGCAAATGGGAAAGATCACGTGAGAACTGCACGTTTATAATTAGTTACGTTAGTTTCCGTGACTTTCGTTGGTTGATATAAACGGCCATTCATTCTTAAATCATTTGCGATATGCAGATGATAGGGTATTGCACTACTAATAGAACAAGATGGAATAAAATAATTATACGAGGAAAGAAAAACTATGGGATGGTCCGGTGATCTTAAAAAACACGCTGGACCATGATGGATGGCAGAAGCTTGAAGGAATGAAGGGAAGGCCTTTGTCCAGAGATAGACATTCGGGACTGATCAATTGATTGATTGATTAATTGGTTGATCGATTTGATATACGGCAGCAAGGCAAGGATTAGTGATTTCCTGACGCTGCAGGTAGTTAGCTGATTGTATCTGTTGCTGTGTGAAGAGAGTCCCGTCACAATTCTGATCTCATTTCTCGTGAGATTCAGGATAAGAAAGAAAGAAAGAAAATGTACTTTTATTGTCAAGAAATAAATTCCTATAACAAAGCATACTAAATCAAGACTTATAAGCTAAGAGTACAATATAGTATAAATAATACTCCAAATTAAACTCACACTACATAATGGTTTAAAATATTGACTCAAAATATTGACTGGAGATGAAAAAGCCGGTAAAAAAAAAACATTAAAATGAACACTAAGTTTTGTAAAGTTATTATTTAATTAATGTGGCACAATCACAAAACACTATCAAAAACCCCATCATAAAGTTCCTCCAAATCGTAATACGGTTTGATGAGCAAAAACTTATTTAGTTCCTTCTTAAATTTTGAAGCAGGCAAATGATTGAAGATCTTCTTGCTCTCATAAATAAGGAATCGCTAAGTCACTGTGCTCGAAGGTATGGGAAGCGGAATATTGTTTAAGCCACGGGTCATATAACCATTCTCAGTAACTGTGAACTCATCACGATATGTGAACTAAAACAGAGGTATCCAAGACAAAAAGGCAGGTCAAAGTGAGTATACCCTCAGAAGCAAACAATGGTCTACACAAATCCCTAGCACCCGCACCACAAAGAATCCTTAGAACTTTCTTTTGCAGAATCAAAAGAACATTGAATAGGGTTTTTGTTGTAAAACCCCAAAACGGCAAACCATATTGGAGGCGCAACTCAACAAGCGCAAAATACACCATACGTGCAACACCCTTTCCCAGTTCCCGATTAGCCAACTTCAATGCAAAACAACCTGATGACAATTTGTTGCATAAATCCAGAATGTGCCCCTCAAAACGAAACCGCGTGTCAATAAGAAGGCCCAAAAACCGGCACTCATCCCTATCCCGGATGTAACTATTATCATCAAGCTGCAGACCGCCAACACTGAGCTTATACCCCATAACACTAGTCTTACCCGCATTAAAAATCAATTCATTAGAGGCACACCACTCTCTAATAGTAGTCAGCTCAGACGCCATTAGGGCCCCTAGCACCCGAATCAGGGTAACGCCATAAAAATAGTTGTATCATCGGCAAACCGAATAATTTTTCCCTGAATTGGCAGAAAGTTCAGATCATTGATATATAATAGAAATAGAATCAGTAAGGGGCCGAAAACAGACCCTTGGGGCACTCCACAGTTGATAGCAAGAGAATCGAAGTAGCTACAAGAAAGCAAGACACGTTGACTTCGACCCAAAGGATAGGACCTGAACCAAGCCAAAGCAGTCCCCCTGAAACCATAACACTCAAGTTTAGAAAGCATCAGCTCATGATCAACACAATCAAAGGCTTTGGACAGATCGCAGAATACCGCTGCAGTTGATTCTCTGTCATTTAGGGACCAACAAAAATTTCTCCAGAAACTTTAAAATGGCATCATGCATTCCCCTGGAAGCTTGGAAGCCATATTGGTTGATACTAAGGATATTATTTGCTGCTATAAATGATGTGATTCTCTTTTTAACGAGCTTTTCAATCACCTCAGAGTGTGATAAAATAGAAATTGGCCGAAACTTAGAAGGATCCTCCATATCATCTCCCTTCTGCAGGGGTATTACAATAGCCAGTTTAAAACAAATCCGGAAACCACTGGCGTAGCCAGGGGGGGGGCAAGGGGGCATTTGCCCCCCCCCCCCCCAAGACCCTTGAATTTTATTTTTTGATGCGGTTTCTTGACTGTTTTTTTTTTTCAAATAGTGGAGGTTTTCTTGGGAGTCAGTCAGGTTGAAAAATGAAATAATTTGTTTTCTTTTTTTTATGTTTCGGAATTCTCATATAATTCCATCTTCAGAAATAGCAAAGTCAAAATTGTAAAAGCTAAAAATATATACAAAAGAAAAAGGAAATCAAAAAACGTTTTAGGACACAAAAAGAAAGCACTTATAGCCGGAGCGCCAGCGCCGAAAAAATTCTCTGAATTTACTAAAGCCAGTTTTTGGTCGGTTGATTACAGTATTTACGTACATAAACATACCTCGGTCAGTCAAGCGAAACTTGGGACAAGGACTTAGGGTGTCTGGTTAAAGTTGTCGAGATAGCTAGGTAATGCAACGAATTTACTAAGGCTGAAAATCGCTATACATATTATATATAACACATAAATAACAGTGATGTTTGTCAGACAATTGAATAGCGGAACTGGGCCGGTCATTCAGCCCAATGGACCTTTCTCATTTTACCTGTGCTGCGCGCGCCGCTTGTGGGTGACAGATAATTAAATTGTCCATTTACTGAACGCGGTCTGACCTTGACGTATTTCAGCTAACCTCAATAATCAATCAATATCAATCAGTATTGCTGAAAATTATTACAAAAACTGTTTATAATACAATGGTTCAAATGTGTTGTATGAGATCTTGTTAGAATAGGGCGAAAAAGAAGTCAAACGTTTCTTTTCACAAGTTCCCAAGCAATCAAATTGTAAGAAAACAATGATTATGTGCTCTCAACCCGAATGAAGACGACTTAAGGCCTCAACGGCCCCCCCCTTCAAATTATATTTTAGTTCTAAAAAAAAATATAGATGGCGCCAAGATGAAAGCATTTTTACAGTGGAGCATTTTAAATATTATAGCGATTTCAATTTGCAGAATCAGTGCAACTTTTTTCACTCAGTTCGCACTGATTGGCTAATGGGACTATGGAGGGATTTGTATTTCCATGCCTGGCCTAAAATGACTTCAAATTTTGTTCTACTCTGTAAAAGTGATGTTTTGTTGTAGAGCTTGTTTTTGAGGTATGTTTATACAAATACAAATACAAATACAAAATATTTATTAATGCCACAACAAAAGTTTTACACAAGTCAAAAAAAGAGATTACAAATATTCATGTATAGGTACTATAAAAACTTTTGGAAATAAGGTACTCTTTGATTTTTGTTTTGAAGCCTTGAATTGGTAAGGACCTTGTGTGGAGGGGCAATTTGTTATAAAACAGCGGTCCATAGAAAGACACCCCTGGTTTCATATGATTTATTCGATGAAAATCAGTTGTGGTAGGTACCTATGAGATTTTCAGGAAGCAAATGGCACATGAATGGGTTTCCAAATAGAGGAATACTCGAAGGAATAATAAAAAAATAGTCTTACCAGGAGTCTAACATAATTTCAGATATTGGTAGAAGATCCAAGAGCTAGTAAAAGAAATGCAAATCGCCAGATACCTAAATTGAATGCTCTACTGCATTGGTGGATATTATTATTATTATTGCACTAATATGCAAGAACACAAAGGAAAAACTCTAATTTTAGCACTTTCCACCTTTTGTAAATAAATTTGAATAATTATTATTGAAGCTTTTTATTTTTTCAAAGACATTTTGTCCTACAAAACACGATCCAATTTTTTTATGTATACTTAGGTACGTAAAATAGATACTTTATTTATTTTCAATGGAAACTAATGGCACAGCATGCTTTGTGCCTATTATTTTATAAACCAATAATAAAAAACAAAACAAATACACAAGGTGAGAAAGAGGTTCAACCTACATCAGCTGCTGCTCCAACGGTTCGGGGTTTTCGAAAACGTCTAATTATGACATCACGAATTGACTGGTGGCGCCATCTTCGAAAAAAAGCCTGAATCATATTTGCCAAAATATCTGTAATTTTATTCCAAAATCGGTTTTAGACTACAAAAAAAAACGGCACATCAGAATTTGCTGAAATTTGGCATAAACATTCTTTGAACGATTATCTAGAGAATAGTGCTCTTATTTTTCCAATTTTTACCGTGGATTTTTCTATTTTTGGGAAATAGTTCATTTTCCCAATATAGGCCAAAAAAAAAAATCGAAATATGGAAAATCTAACTGCACTATTCTCTAGATAATCGATCAAGGAATGTTTAT